CTTTGTTTTGTGGGCTGCTCCATAGTGCACCTCACAACTTGGCATGTGTCTTCCCTCAGAGTGAGCAAGTGAGAGAGGATACCCAGTATGGGAGCCACAGCCTTTTTGTAACTAATCTCAGAAGTGACATCCCATCACATTTGCTGTATTCCAGGACTAGTTAGAAACTAATCACCAGATCAGCCCAGGGTTGCATAAAGGTGTGAATACCAGGAGGCAGGGATCATGGAGGGCCATCTGAGAATCTGTCTACTACAGGGGGCAAAATTGTCCAGTAGTTCATTACCACACTGTCCTGGTGAGAGTGTTGAACTACCCACTCATTGAGGACACCCCTGAACCAATCCATGTGGCCATGAATGCAGTGAGCTAACCCAATCATTCTGGCAAGGGATGGGGGAGAGAGAAGAGGACTGTCTTGTTGACCCAGACCCATCAAGGCCTACCCTTTGAGCTGAATATGAAGCTGAGTCTATTCCTCCCAGACCACTATTGCTACATAATGAAGGAAACTGGAATGTATATTGGGAAGAAAACACAAACTGGTAAAATATTTTAGGTGTTTTATTCAAACTGTCCTTTTTTGCTTCACAGGTATAATCCATGAAGACAAAATAGAATATGAACTTCTATTCACCATTTCTGGAATTCTAGCCACAATGATGGTCTGGTGGTGACTGATAACTAGCTTTGTTCCAAGAAAGACCTTTACCTCTTAGATTTCAACTCCCTGCCTCCCCGTTCCTAACTGTACAGAGAGACTTCCCCAGATAGAGGAGAACCATTTATTCCAACAAGGACAACCAAGTTCTTGCATCCCTAGCTATAAGACATAGTATTTTTATTTATTTGAAAATGAAACGAAGTCTTAAGTTGAAACTCGAATGAATATTCAAGAAAATATAATGACCTCTTATTTTTTCCTGAATGATTCCAACTATCTTATCAGTTGACAAAAAAAAGTTGAGAAAATTCTGATATTGGCCTCACAGTCTAAACTCTAGATTCTAAAGAACAGTAAAGAGTTAGGTCAATAAATGCCATCTAAGGTGAAGCCCTTTCAAAGTCTAGTCATTATTCTTTTAAAGAAGCTGACTGTGCTATAAAATGGTCCTGAGCGATGTGGTGAACCTCACAAGTCCAAAACAGGAGTATCCCAGAGCTTTCTGGACTCAAAGAAATAAAAAATTTTTAGAAGTGGAATCTGCAGTTTGTTATCAAGAGGGACAATCACTAGAATTTACACTATTTTTCCGAAATACATATCAAGCATGCAAGCTAGCAGGGCCTCCAGAACAGTTAAGGGGAGCCTCAGACAATTTGGGGAGTTTTACTGAAGGACCAAGAAACAATATAAAATCAGATGTACACTCTTGGACATGGAGGAAATGACAGCTGCTAACATTGCAGCCATGGCAAGGGGCCAGAAAGCAGCCTGGTGGAGTAGGGCGGTCAGTGGGCAGGAAACCTACACATTCAACAATATGCAAAAGTCAATTGTGTTTTCTTATACTAGCAATGAAAAACCCAAACATGAAATTAACAAAACAATTCCATCCACAGTAGCATCAAAAAAGAATTAAATACTTGAGAATAAATTTAAGAAAAGAAGTACAAGACTTTTACAATGAAAACTATAAAACATTCACTGAAAATAAAGAAGGTATAAATAAATATAGAGACATTCCATGTTCATGAATTAGAAGATTCAGTATTGTTAAATGGCAGTCCTTCCCAAATTGATCAATGCAATCCCTATCAAAATCCTAGCAAGTTCTTTTGAAAAATTGACAAGATGATCCTAAAATTTCAAGGGAAGTGCCCAAAAATCCAGAATAGCCAAAACAATTCTGAAAATGAAGAACACTTCCTGATTTCAAAACTTACTACAAAGCTATAGTAATAACGACGGTGTGATACTCATGAAAATAGGGATAAAGATCAGTAGAACAGACTTGGAAGTCCAGAAGTAAACCCTCATATTTATGGTCAATTGATTTTTGACTGAGGTGCCAAGGAAATTCAATGAAGAAGGACGGTCTTTTGAACAAGTGGTGCTGGGACATTTGGATATCAGTCACAAAAGAGATGAGTTTAGGCCCTTACCTCCTACCATATGCAAAGATAAATTCAAAATGGATCAGAGACCTAAATGTAAGAGCTGAAACTATAAAACTTTTAGGAGAAAACCTACATGATGTTGGTTTAGGAAAAGAGTTCTTAGATAAGATGCTAAAATCTCAGTTCATAAAGGAAAATATTAATAAGTTGGACTTCATCAAAATTTAAAACGTCTGTGTTTCAAAAAAACAGGAAAATAAATTGACAAACCACAGACTGGGAGAAAATATTTTCAAATCGTATTTGATAAAGGACTTATATCCAGAACATATAAAGAATTCTTTTTTTTTTTTGGTTTTTTTGATTGGCACCTGAGCTAACATGTTGCCCATCTTTTTTTTCTTTTTCTTCTTCTTCTTCTCCCCAAAGCACCCCCCAGTACGTAGTTGTATATTTTAGTTGCAGGTCCTTCTAGTTGTGCTGTGTGGGACGCCACCTCAGCATGGCCTGATGAGCAGTGCTAGGTCTGCGCCCAGGATCCGAACTAGCGAAACCCTGGGCCGCCGAAACAGATGGCGCAAACTTCACTCGGCCACAGGGCCGGCCCCTAAAAAGAATTCAAAATAAGACAACTCAACTCTAAAATGGGCAAAAATTTGAATAGATATTTCAGCAAAGAAGATACACAAATTGCCTAGCATATGAAAAGATGCTCACCATCACTAGTCATTAGAGAAACGCAAGTTAAAACCAAAATTAGGTACCACTTCACACCCACTAGGGTGACTATAATAAAAAGCAAACAGTGTTGATGAGGATATGGAGAAAATCCAGCCCTAATACATTACTGGCGGAAATGTAAAATGATCTGGCGACTTTAGAAAAAAGGTCTGCAGTTTCTTAAAAAGTTAAACATGACCCAGCAATTCTACTCAGTGTTCCATCCCAAGAGAAATGAAAACGTGTTCACAAAGACTTGTAGGCAAATGATCATAGCAGCAGCATTCATGTTAGTCAAAAAGTGGAAACTATCCAAATGACCGTCACCTGGTAAATGGAAAAAGAAAAAATTCATACAAAGAGTACTGACACATGCTACAACATGGTTGAACCTCAGAAACATGCTAAGTGAAATAAGTCCAATGCAGTAAGCCATATATAGTGTGATTCCATTTATGTGAAATGTCAGAAAAGGAAAATCTCTAAAGCGATGCTAGATTGGTGGCTGCATAAGCCTGGGGTGGGAACGGGGATTGTCTGCAAGTAGGCACAAGAGATCTCTTTAGGGTGATGAAAATGTTCTAAAACTAAATTGTGATTTTTGCATGACTTTGTAAACTTTTGAAAATAATTGGTTTGTGCACTTAAAAAAATTATACATGATGTCCATACTACCCAAAGCAATCTACAGATTCAGTGCAATCCCTATCAAAATTCCAATGGCATTTATCACAGAAATAGAACAAACAACCCTAAAATTTGTATGGACCACCAAAGACCCCAAATAGTCAAAGCAATCTTGAGAAAGAACAACAAAGCTGTAGGTATCAGGCTCTTTGATTTCAAACTGTTGTACAAAGCTATAGTAATCAAAACAGTAAGACAAGCATAAAAAGATAGAGGGGCCAGCCTGGTGGTGCAGCAGTTAGGTTCACATGTTCTGCTTCAGTGGCCCAGGGTTCGCCGGGTCGGACCCTGGGTGTGGACATGGCACCGTTTGGCAAGCCATGCTGTGGTAGGCATCCCACATATAAAGTAGAGGAAGATGGGCATGGATGTTAGCTCAGGGCCAGTCTTCCTCAGCAAAAAGAGTGGGAGTGGCAGCAGATGTTAGCTCAGGGCTAATCTTCCTCAAAAAAAAATAAAAAGTAAAAAAATAAAAACAGATCAATGGAACAGAATAGAGAGCCCAGAAATAAACCCATACATATGTGGTCAATTAATTTACAGCAAAGGAGCCAAGAATATATAATGGGGAAAGGACAGTCTCTTCAATAACTGGTGTTGGGAAAACAACCATTCTCTTACACCATACACAAAAATTAGTTCAAAATGGATTAAAGACTTTAATGTCAGACCTGAAACCATAAAACTCCTAGAAGAAGACATAGGCAGTAACTTCCTGGACGTCAGTCTTGATGATGGTTTTTTGGATTTGAAACCAAAAGCAAAGGCAACAAAAGCAAAAATAAAGTGAGACTGCATCAAACTAAAAAGCTTCTGCACAACAAAGGAAGCCATTAACAAAATGAAAAGACAACCTGTGGAATGGGAGAAAATATTTGCAAATCATATATCTGATAAGTGGTTAATATTCAAAATATGTAAAGAGCTCATTAAATGGTAGCAAACACCAATGGGCAGAGGATCTGAATGGACATTTTTTCAAAGACATACAAATGGCCAACAGGTACGCAAAAAGATGCTCAGCATCACTAATCATCAGGTAAATACAAATCAAAACCACAATGAGATATCACCTCACACCTGTTAGAATGGCTGTCATCGAAAAGACAAGAAATGTGTTGGCAAGGATGTGGAGAAAAGGGACCCCTCGTGCACTGTTGGCAGGAATGTAAATTGGTGCAGCCACTATGGAAAGCTATGGAGGTTCTTCAAAAAATTAAAAATAGAACTACCATATGACCCACCAATTCCACTTCTGGGTATTTATGTGAAAGAAATGAAAACACCAACTTGAAAAGATATATGCACCCCCATGTTCGCTGCAGCATTATTTATAGTTTTATAATTTGTGAACTTATATATACTTATAAATTTATAATTTACATTATTATACATGCACACACACACGAATATTACTCAGCCATAAAAAAGGAAGTCCTGCTGTTTGTGACAATATGGATGGACCTTGAGGGCATTATGGTAAGTGAAATAAGAAAAACAAATACTATATGATCTCAGTTATATGTGGAATCTAAAAAAAGCTTTTTAAAACCAAGTTCATAGACACAGAGAACAAATTGGTGGTTGCCAGAGGTGCAGAGTGAGGGGTGGGCAAAATGGGTGAAGGCACACAAAAGGTACGAACTTCCAGTTATATAGTAAAGTCATGAGAATGTAAAGTACAGCATGGTGACTGTACTTGATAATACTGTATTGCATATTTGAAAGTTGCTAAGAGAATAGATCTTAAAAGTTCTCATTACATGAAAAAAAAATTGCACCTCTGCACGGTGTTGCATGTTAACTAGACTTTGTAGCTATCGTTTTGCAATATATACAAATATCGAATCGTTGCACAACTAAAATTAATATATGTCAGTTATATCTCAATAAAAATAATAAATTTAAAAATTCATAGATGATGACAGGGCCCCTCCGTCTGACCTACTAGTGCCAACTGTCTGGGTTAGAGGGGAAGAAGCTGCTGTATCCTGTGCTCCCCTCTCTCTGCCCAGAGACACCTCTTGAGTTATTTCCCACATCCTGCAGGTCTAGGGCCCTAGCTCACTAGAAACATCAGGAAGCCAAATGGATCACTAGCACTTCTGCCATCAGCTAACTGCAGGACCAGCAGCTTTTTTGGGTGCTGCACCTGCCTCCCACACACTCCTGCCGGGTTTGTTTGCTTGGGAGGACCGGAGCAGAATTCGGTTCAGCTCAAAGAACTGTGCTAGATCTTGGTTTCAAATGTCATTTTCCAGTAAAAGAAGCGAAGTCTCCTTGGGAAAATGGCTAGTTCTGAAGCTGGGGCAGGGAAGATACAGGCTAAACCTGGAGCATCTTGCAGTACGAGGAAGTAAGTGCGTGCTTACTGCTGAAAACAAGTGCTGAGCCTGCCACTGAAGACTGGCAGCTCCACTGCTCAGGCCACTGAAGGGATAGCAGCCGCCACTGGGTGTCTTCAGCTGCTCTTCCACACGCTCTTCAACAGAGAATGGAAGTAAGCTTGTCAGAAAGTAAATATCAGCTCTGAAAGAAAGAAATGAATAATGCTATCTGTAGACACTATCCCTTCTACATAGGAGGTGGAGCTTAGTCCACCTTTGAGAGGGGGTTAAACACAATGACTTGCTCCCAAAGAAGAGAGTAGGGAGAGAACAAACACTGCCTTCACCAAGTGATGACGGTTCACATCCCCAGTGATGCCATGTGCAGATCATGCCTGACATGTGAGGATAAGGGCACTTCACCTCTGTGGTATTCTTCCCCAAAACCATAATCTTAGTCTAATCATGAGAAAACAGACAAATCCAATTTAGGGGCATTTCTACAGGAAACTTGGCCAGTACCCATCAGGACTGTCAAGGTCATAAAAACAAGAAAAGACTGAAAAATGCTCACAGACTGGGAAGACATGTAAACTAAATGCAGTGTGGTGTCCTGGTCTGCATCAGAACAGAAAGAGGACATTAATACAAAAACTGGTGAAACCCAAATAAAGTCCGGAGTTTAGTTAATTGTAATAAGCCAATGCCGTTTTAGTTTTAGCAAATGTACCATGGAAATGTACAATGTAAATGACTGGGCAAATTGGGTGAGGGGTACACAGGAACTCGGTACTATCTTTGCAACTTTCTGTGAATCTAAAATTATTTAAAAATAAAAACGCTATTTTTTTTAAGAAAGCACTAGCTGGGCAGGAGAAGGGATGCAAAGACAAGACAGTCACTGCCCTCGACCTTCAGCCTGCCTATGTGAGGGAGGCGCAACTTGGGTAAGTGCCCTGAAGAGAGCCTCCATCCCGGTTTGCCTGGGACAGTGCTCAGTTTATACCCATTATCTCAGCATCATTATTAATTACAAGCATCCTCTTTTACTTCCAAAAGTATTCTGATTTGGACATTAAATTATATGGTCACACCATCTAAAAGGCACAGACTACACTCTGGCCGTCAGAGATGGGAGGGGACATTTATGATTCATGGAGGGATGGATAGAGAGTTATGAAGGGGAGATAGAAAGTCAGGGGCAGGAAGGGGAAGGTGTGGCCCAGGCAGGGGCAGCCTCAAGAGGAAAGGCCAGAGACAGGTAAGACCCAGGGGGTGTTCTTTTTAAGACATAGAAGCCTGAAGTTGGAGAACACTGAGATAAGTGGCAAACATGGTTAGGAAGGTGGGGTCAGTAGGGTTTGTGCAGGTTAAAAGGACTAGAACGCTACTGGGGCAGTAATGTATTTTCAAGCAGTGACTAAACCACCTGACAAATGAAAAACCTATGAAATCAATTTTCCTGAGGAAGACTCTTTCCTTTTTTCCCCTACATATCCATTCTTTCCCTAACTTTTCCTGTACTTTCTCTAGGCTCTTGACACACACTGAGCTCCAGCTCATCACCCAAGCTAACTCTCAAAGGTGGTGTGAGATCCCTCTAAACACTGATATTGCCGTTTGCTAAGCTCTCAGCCCACACAAGCTTGGCGCCGCGGCTTCCCTGGGCCTCGGCTAGCCGGCCCAACCTGTGGTTCAGTCATGTGCTCTGCTGACTCAGAGCCTCGCTCTCCAGAACACCGCTCCCTGACCCCCGTGTGGCATTCTTCATTATTGAAGTAGAGCGTCTTCTTCAATAAAGCATAACCCCAGGTTTTCTTGTGAACTGCGAATTTCAAAGAACAGGAAGAAAGGTTTTACGAAAACCCTGTTGCTCTTTCAGGGAAGAAGACTTGAATTCTAAATAGCTTTTACTATAAAAAGTAAACAGTGTGATTCAGTTTCACTTTCTATTTAAATACTTCAGGACCTAGTTTATATGCTGTTCCTATTCAGAGAATGATGACTTTTTAAAAAATCTTGCCGTTTGAATAATTCCATTTCCATGAGATTCTCACTTAAAAACCCCGCCAAGCTTCACGTACTTAGTGGAGTTTCTGTAAGGTATTATTTAGCATCTTCTGTGTGTAGTCATGTCCAAAAGCCAGATGATTTGCCTACTTATTAGGGAACAGGATCAATCCTCTAAAGATTTCCCTAGACCCATGGAAAATATCATTCTGAAGTTTGAAAGTCTGTAATAGCCTCACATTATAAGCCCTGGTAGAAAAAGAAGAGTAAGGATGTCTAGAAGCCCACCTCTGCTGAGCTGAGGGTGTGGTGGGGAGCAGGGGCGACTTTGATCTGAATGTGCCTAGAGAGGCCGGAGTGAGGTTGGGCCTGGCTCCTGAGGCCTCTGCTGTCCAGGCCCTCCTCATCGCAGCACAGCCTGGAGGCTGACAGCTCGGGTGCAGGGACTGCAGATGCGCGCCTTCTGTGCTCGCTGATGAAATACCCTCAGAAGATTTGTCCTCAATAAAGCTCGTTTTCTTTGGGAATTCATGTGTCCTTTTCCAAATCGAACTTGCAAAATAGGAACTTTTGTAAAATCTTAGCTATCCAGCTCTCTGCTCTCTAAATTTTCAAGCCTTTGTATGTCCTTCCCTCAGCTAAAAATACCAGTTTTGGAAAACTGATTATCGATGAAGGAACTGGGAGGTGGAACTGGATCAGAATGCCTTTGAATAGAAACAGTGGTACCATCCTGTCCCTCTGAGTGAGCGGGCCTCCCCTCGGGGCCTGTGGAGAAAAGCCCGCTCCAAGGTGTTAGTTCTCAGTTTGCTTCCTAGCACCTTTGCAGTCATAACCAAAGCAAAGGAGAATATTGCATGACTTCAGAAGAAAGCCAGCCACCTTGCAACATCTTCAGGAAATTCTGCACTCCCCTAGGGCTTGCAAAACTCCCTATGTCTTGCAGACCAAAGGCAAGATCTCAGTCACCTAGCTCTAGTTTGCATAATTAAAGAAAGTGGAAGCTGGTTATTTCGGGTGACCTTTGACCCAACCAAGCACACAGGGCCTGTGATAGAAATAAGGTAGCAACAAAATGAAGTGTTGCAGCAGTGAAAGCTTCTCCTACTCAGATGAGCAGAAAAGCCAGGCCCCTGGATGCCCACTTGACTCCTTACCTACTAGAGCCCTACAACCAAGATAGTGTCCACTTAAGGTATTATAATGTTATTCTTTTGAAGTTGGCATACATACAACTTAATAGAATTTCATGTCATAATTTGTAAGACTTTCCAGAGAAACAATTTACTTATATCTTCTATAATACCTTTTATCTTCATTTTTGATAAAAGCATAACTTATGATCTGTTAACTTGCTCCCTCCTACATCCTTGCCCCTTTATTGTTCTCCCATTGTCTTATTAACATATTATCCATCTTTGGGGGAAAAAATTAAAACAGAATTTTAGAGCCACATTCACTATGGCCACATGGAGGTAGAGAGAATCCAGCTTCGAAGGCAGGCAGAGCGGTTCTCCCTCTTTTGCATGTTGGGCGTCCAAATAGATCTTCCTTGTACAAAGAGTCTTGCTGGTAGGGAAAAGAGTTTGAAAATTCCTGAGCTAGTCTAAATCCCTCACTTTAAAAAAGCACAAACTAAGACCCCGAGAGGTTCACCTGATGCGAGGTCTGCCACTTGTGGCAGAGCAATTGCTAGAAACCAGGTCTCAAACGCCTAGTCTATGGCAACAAAAAGCCCAATGAGCTTTGGAGAGAGAGGGAGCTCAAAACAGGACTCTCCATCAAAACCCACCTGGGCCTCGCGCAGCCGACCTGTCTGGGTGAGCTAAACCGAGATTCCTCCGCCTCCGCCCCCGCTTCCGCTGCAGAACAAGGGTCACTGCCACAGGGAGAGCTGAACTTGGGGACGGGTTCTGATTTGAGTCAGCGTACAACTTGGTTTTAAGGCCCAGAAGTTTTTTGCTTGGAGCCGCCAGACTTGGTTAGAGGTTGAGAGACCACAGGGTCACCGAGCAGCCCCCGGCTTTTCAGAGTTTGGGAAAACAACTCAGTCGCATTAGGGGTTTCTCAGGCAAAGTCTCCAGGACAGAGAAGGAATATTTACTAAGTGGGAGAGGAAGCTATTACTGAAGACCTTTCTAACCCATTCTGTAAGGTGCAATTCAATAAAACCTGCAAACACCTATCACAACTTTGTTCTCTCCGTGATTAAAGCCTGGAGTTTTTTGTGGAAAGTGACAAACACACACACATCAAGAAAGCCAGCTTCTTCAGTTGGCGAGAGAATTAAAGATATCTACAGAAGTAGGGTTCTGGGCCATTTTGGGGGGGTGGGAGGAATAAAGTTAGCATTAATATGAGGGTCTGTGAAGGTTTCTGGATTAATTTACTTTTTAGGAGCACATGGAATTTACTGGCTGGATAAATGCAGTCACAGTCTTCATCGTGTTCAGCTCCAGGCCCTGGGAGAAGGGCTGGGCTCACAGGCAGCCTGAGTTTTCAGAGTCTAGGCAGCGTGGAGTTCAGGCAGCAGGAGCGTTCAGACTCTCCCCAGAAGCTGTCCGCTCCTCACCACACAGCCTGCATTCCTAGGGAGTGTCCTAATATCTGCCCAGGGTTTCAGAACTGTGCACACTCATTCAGTCAACAAATCTTTATTGAGCACTTACCGTGGGCCAGGCCTTCCCATCTGGAGCCACTCTGAGAGCCTTCCGTGGTGCCCCATGCAGTTTCCCTACAAGGCGTGAAGGACTGCACCCTGCTCGCCCACGGGAGCTTATGGTCTAGCTGGGACTATGAAACGTTCAGTAAACCGTGAGCACAGAGGCAAAATGGGAAAAGGCTGGGATTTGTGGCCAGACTGGCCCAGTTGAAATCCTAACATTTGGGGCAATAACTAGCTGGTCGATCTTGGGCAGATGGTAAACTTCTCTGAGCCTCAGCTTTTTTATTTGAAAATGGAGAACAATAAAACATGTTCCTTACAGGGTTACTTATTTAATGGGACATGAAGACATAGGGACCACTAATATTAGGTAAAAACTTTTTTTTAAGACTTTGCACAATTTTTATTTTTATTTTCATCTTAATATTTTTTAAAGTAATGCATGTACATAATTATGACAGTAACACTTAGCACTTACTTTGTACCAGGCACTATTCCAAGTATTTTACATAGATTAAATTAGTTCACCCTAACAACAACCATCTGAGGTAAGTACAATTATTACACCAATTTTCAACCAATGATGTAACTGAGGCACAGAGAGGTTAAATGACTTACCCAAGGTCACACAGCTAGTAAGTGGCAGTCCCATGCTTCAAATTATGTTCATATGCACATAGTTCAACAATTCAAAACTTCTACAAGACTTATGAAAAGCAGCCACCCTCTGCATGCCCTTCCCTGCCACTCCCACTCCACATATTTAACTAAGGTGCTTATAGAAGATGAGGATTTAAGTGTCATCACTACTAGAAACCACCACACACCACCCCACAGCACACTTCTTCTCTTCCATCCTTTTGATAGCAGTTTTTAGTTAGATTAATATTTAGTGTTTACATTCTTATCATCTGTCACACTGTTACAGGCAAGTCCTGCAGTATGCTACCATTCTCCTTCCTCCTTATACAACTAGTAACTAGAGTTAATACTTGTCTTATTAGTTTGCTTAGTTTCTACGCACCTTTCACTAATCTATCACCAAACTCTCCACGGTGTTAATCGCCTCTTCATCTATTCCAACACCTCAGACGTCTAGCAATCCCTTGAACACACCTTTCCCAGAGCCTTTCTAGTGCAATCTGGACTGGCTGCCTCCAGTTCTGCTGCAAAGCCATATCTTGAGAGCTCTTTTCAGCATCCCTGGAATTACTTTTACGTCTTTCTTGGGGTGGTTCACCTGGGCCCTTTAAATTTTGACGAAGTTGAATT